TTGATTTATTGACATTTAAATGGCCACATGTAGATAGTGGCTACTACATTGGACACCATGTCCCTCAAGGGAAAAAAGCAATAAACCAAGATTGAAGTCTCAAGAAATAGTGACAAATACACTCAATTATCTGTGTACCCATATGTGTATGCATACGTACATTCTGTGTGTGTGTGTGTGTGTGTGTGTGTGTGTTAAAACAGAATAGTTTCAACTTGTTTCCAGGCAAGATGGAGTAGCTGAGACCGTATTTATCCTCTATGATGATACCATGTGTCTACTTGACTCCACCACAGGATGCCCATATAGTTGGTTAAGCATTACTTCTGGGTCTGACCATGAGGGTATTTTAGTAGATTCTACAGTGAGAGCAGGCACTACCTAAGGTATAGAGGGTCAGAATGAATGAAAACTCAGAAGAAAGTTGAATTAATGCTGCCTGGCTATGTGAGCTGGGACATCAATCTCCTATGACCCTCAGTATCCTGGTTCTCAGGCCTTCAGACCTGAACATGAATCTATACCATCAGCTCTCCAGTTGTCACACCTTCCCACTGTATCATCAGGTTTCTTGGTCTCCATCTTATAGATAGTAGATCATGGAAGATCTCAGCCTCTATAATTATGCAAGTCAATACCTTATAATATTCATAATATAGAGATTTATGATAAGATATTGGCTTATGTGATTATGGAAACTAAGAAATCCCATGATCTGCCACATGAACATATAAATATATAGCCAATAAGGTAAGGACTTTATTTATGTGTGTTTGTGTGTTCTGGTTTTCTAGAGAACCCTATTAATACACCCTCACACTTTAAACAATTTTTAAAAAGACAAAATGCATAAACACTTTTAAAGACTTGTATTTGGGGCAGTGAAGGACAGAGATCCCTGAGAAACAAACAAACTGAGTGCATTCAGTGATGCCCCCAACTTACTGCCTGTAGAAAGTCTCCAGGCTGTGATACAGAAAGGACATATATCCACCACCTGGCCGATGCTTTTAATTAACAAGACAGTGTTGGGAAGTGCCTAAAATTCACAGAAGAGAGTACAGTGGGGACAGAGCAGCACAGGAGAGACAGAAAGGATCAGAGAAAAGAACAGAGGCATGAAAGATATTAAAAAGACCTGAACAGAATTTCTGGAGGTAAAAATTAAAATGTCTAAGAATAACAAAAGACACTGAATGAGATTAACATCAGATTAGACATTGCAGAAGAGAAGATTAGTGAACCTGAAGGTATAGCAACAGAGTATTCAAAAAGGAAATACAGAAAAAGTAAAACAGAAAAATATAAACAAAGCATCAGTGAGCTATAGAACAACTTCAGGTGGCCTAATTTAATGTAATTGGAATCCCAGAAGGAGAGAGGGAATAGAAAAAAATATTTGAGAAACTAAAGAAGAAAAATTTTCTGTATTTGATGAGAACTATAATATAAATCCACAGATTCAATAAGTTTGATAAATCTGAATATGAAGAGAATGCAATTGTGTCTGTCTTGGTTTTAAAAGGAGCTCTAAGACAGTGATGCCAGCCACATCTGCCAGCCTATCTGTCCCCAAAAGATTGTGTCCCCCCCAAAAGATATCAAATATCGTAAAGTTCTGACGCTCAGTACATAAAATATAAACTTACTTAGAAATAGAGTCTTTAGACGTAATTGTTGTCAGGGTGGCCTGTGATCTAGAACGACTCATGTCCTTGTAAAAAGAGAAACAGACAAAAACACACAGGGAAAAGTCCGTGTGAAGACAGACATGGAGACTGGATGATGCATTTACAAACCAAGAAAGGTCAAGAATTTCCATTAACACCAGAAACTGAGAGAAATCGTGGAATGGAATTTCCCCCAGAGCATCCAGAGAGAGCTGGGATCTGCCAATACCTTAATTTTGGACTCCTGGCATCCACAGGAGTGAGAGAATACATCCAGTGTGTGGTCATTTGTGATGGAAGCCCTACAAAACTAACATGGCCATCTATGCAGAACTGTGAAGAATCAGCCAAAACTGTTTTTGCCACACTTACTACAGAATTCTCCCCACCCACCACCTTGGGAATATGAAAGTGTTGAAACTGAAAAGTACAGGAGGTATTTAATGTGCTCTGAGCCTCAATGCCACCTCCCCTCACTCAATGTCCGATGAATGAATAGATGACATTTAATCTCTCACCCACCATCCCCAGTCCGAAACCCACAAAGCTGGACTATTGGAGGATTGGGTCAACAAGACAAGGAGTTAAAATGTCTAAGAAGGGATCCTCTTATTAAAAACTCCTAAAAACCTTTCCCTCAGATACCAGGGAAGGGCTGAAGGGATGAAGCCCTAGGGGCAGTGTCAGCCACCCAAGGCAAACTCAACTGTCCAGCAGTGCTGTGGTAGCCAGATGCAGCCTTCAGAGAATCCCAGAAGAAGAGAGGACCCAGTTGGCCTCTGGCCACCTCCCGCACGCATGCCATAACCCACACCAGGCTGGTGAAGTGTTTTAGAGCAAAAAGATCCTTTTGTTCTGAAAAGGGTTGATTTGCACACTCTGCACTGCAGTGACAAAGCCCCTGAGAACAAAGCAAGACTGAGAAGTGGGCACAGAGATGGAGCACAGAGGTGAGGGACAGAGGTCTGCAGGTCCCCAACAGCACCTGCTCAGTGCCTTGAGCATAAGCCACCTGCTTCATACACAGATGTTCAGTGGAGCCTCACATCTCCCAGCCCGTCCGAGTGTGTGTGTGGGATGTGATGTATGTGTATGAGGGTAGCATGGTGTATGCATTGTGTGATGTGTATGTGTGTGTGGTGTGGGAAAGAGGGCTTTGTGACTGAATGCCTGGCTTCAGAATCTGCTAGTTTCAGATGAAGCAAAACAAGCCTGGGCATGGAGCTACAGCATCAGCAGTGACTTGGAACGGATCCACAGTCTGGTCTATTTTTAGCAGTGATGCGCCATGACTTTGCAGTCTTCCTTAATATAATTGACAGCAGCAGGATCCCATCGGGAATAGCAACTACAGCGGAGGACTCTCTGCTCCCCGAATCACACCATCGCTCAGCCCTATTGAACAAATCATGAAGCATTTCTAGATCCTTAAAACATTGCAAACATTGTATATTATTTTCCAGAATTTGAGGGGCAAAAGAAAAAGTAATTCAATATATCAACACTTACAACTATATGGGGATTCTTAACCAGTCCCTCTAGGCACTGTAAAACCTGGAAATCAAGTAAACAAATGCCAAGCTAGTACAAAATCATGATTAGTGTTTGCCAGAGTTAATAGGAAAAAAAATAGTGCTGTAGTTGGCATGAATTTATTACCCTCTAGGCTCATTTTAAAGCTACAAGGCAGGTAGCCATTAAATAAAATAAATTAAATAATATTAATGTCCTTTCATGAAGGGATACTATATCACAGATATTATAAAAATTCAGGCTAAGATTACTTATAGATAATAGTTGCCCTGGCAACTCTAGCTATTTCCTCCTGAGAATGTAAGAAAAGATTACAGACAAGTTCAAGAACTCCTAGATATCAAATCTGACCAAAAGAGCAAGTTTGCAATTCATTTAAACAATGAAAAGAAATTCAGTGAACAAATAGAAAAAGCCTGTGAGAATCATGGATTAATCATGAAAACTGAAAAAGACCTAGAGCTCAGGCCTATCATGTTACAGATAAAGAAAGAAATTGCCTGAAAGGTTAAAGGACTTGCTCAAGAACACATCCCAGTGGCATCTCTTCTGATCTCAGTCTTCTGACTTCTTGCCTTGTAGTCTTTATACGTCCTGAACTATCTCGGCACTCTGTCTGACTCTATGCAAGGTACCGTGGATAGTACAAAAGTGAGAGAACCTTGGTGACAACCAAGAGTTTGTAGACCTGTCTTGCTGGTATAGCTGTTCTTAGAGAAAGTACCCTGAATTGTGACCCCCTCTATTTGCCAGGGAGAACTGAAGTCAGATCACCAGAATCTGCAAACTTTACCAACAGCCTCACCAGTGGAGGGCTGGTGACCACCTCCAAGTTGTAAAAGTCCTTGCTGGACCTTCCCACTGAGCTCTGACTAGTGATCTGGGCTATTCTGGGAGCCACAGCCTGAAAAGGGAGCTGACTTTGGGCAAAGGAAGGCTAAGTCTATATATGAGAGGTAAGAAGACTGACTTGATTTCATTTTCATTTCGAAGATTTACTGAATTAGGTACTAGGACTACTGAGTTCAATAGTCCACAGTCCCTGCCTTTAAACCTTTAGAGATTTTTTTTTCTTTCTTTTCAAGACAGAGTCTTACTCTGTTACCCTGGGTAGAATGCCTGTGGCATCACAGTGCATAGCAACCTCAAACTCTTGGGTTTAAGCAATCCTCTTGCCTCAGCCTTCCAAGTAGCTGGGACTACAGGCACCCACCACAGCACTAATTATTTTTAATAGAGAACAAGTGTCTTGCTCTTACTCAGGCTGGTCCTAAACTCCTGAGCTCAAGCAACCCATCTACCTCAGGCTCCCCAAGTGCTAGGATTACAGGCATGAGCCACCATGCCTGTAATTAAGATCTTAATTCAATAATAGTTAAATGTAGTGGGTACTATACCAGAGGTAGGTAATGAACTCTAATTTGAGAAGATCTTCTGATGCTGAGCACAGAAGTTGCTCTTCAAAAAAGAGGCACGTACAGATCAAAGGACATAACACATTGAAAAATCAACATACAGAATGAGAAAAAAATTGCAAATTGCACCAAATATGGGGTAAATAGCCAGAAGATACAAAGAATTCCCACAACTCAACAAAATAAAAACAAATACAACCTGATGTAAAAATGGGCACAGAATTTAAATAGATACTTCTCCCAACATGGCCATGCAGATGGCCAGTAAGCCTGGGAAAAGATGCTCAACTTCCCTAATCACCAGAGAATTACAAATCAAAGCACAATGAGATATCACCTCCCACCCTTTAGGATGGCTACCATTAAAAATAAAAAGATAACAAAGGGTATACTCTTAGGCATTATTTCTATGGTTGGTTACTAAAAAAGTTTCTCTGGATGTGCCGAGTGCCAGAAATCACGAGAAGGAGGCAAAGCATTCTGTCCTAAGCGTGAAGCTGGCTCTTGGTGAAGCTGCATTGCAACCCCAAGTTGCCATTGATAATCATCCTTCTCAGGAAAGTAAGAGGGAAAGGATTCAATCTGAGTGGTTCTCATTTACAAAAAAAAGGTAATAAGCATTGACAAGGATGCCGAGAAATTGGAACATTTGTGCACTATTGGTGGGACTAGGAAAACCATTACAGAAACCACAATGCCGGCTCCTCAAAAATTAAAAATAGATTGTGATTCCAGATGATTCAGCAATTCCACTTCTGGGTTTATACCCCCTAAAATTGAAAGAAGAATTTCAAAGAGATATTTGCACACCCATGTTCATAGCAACACTATTCACAATACCCAAGAGATAGAAGCAGTTGAAATATCCATCTGCAGAAGAACGGATAAACAAAATGACAAATGCAGACAGTAGAATATTACTCAGCTGTAGAAAGGAAGTCAGGTGCTACAGCATGATTGAAACTCAAGGACATTATGCTCAATGGAATAAGCCACAAGGAAACAAATATGGTGTGATTCTACTTATACGAGGTGTCTAAAGTAGTCTATTTCATAGAAAAATACTGCCGGGGAATGGGCAAGGGGAAAATGGGAAGTTGTTGTTTAATAGGTATGTAATTTCAGTTTTTCAAGATGTCATTTTTCTAAAGTTCTGGAGACCTGTTGCACAACAATGTGAATATACTTGTTACTGAACTCTACATTTACAAATACTTAAGACAGTAAATTTTATGCTTTATGGGTTTTGGGGGGAGGAGCAATTTTTTTTTGAGACAGTCTCACTCTGTTGCCCCAGGCTAGTGTGCTATGGTGTCGACCTAACTTACAGCAACCTCAGACTCCTGGGTTCCAAGTGATCCTCCTGCCTCAGCCTCCCTAGTAACTGTATCTGCTAGCGACTTCTTTCTATTTTTAGTAGAGGTGGTCTTGCTTTTGCTCAGATGCATCTCAAAATCATGAGTTGAAGGGGTCCTCGACTTCTCAGAGTGCTAGGATTATAAGTCCCAGCTGTGTGCTGACATGCCACGCCTGGCTGATGATTTTTTTTATAAAGAGGTACATGTAATCGCTCAGGAATAACAAGCTCTTATTTCTTCCTACCTCCTTCTACCAAACAAATAAATTTGACCCATAAATTCAGAAGATTTACTTCAAGAAGCAAGTCCCTAATGTGATCTGATATCTCTGGGACATGAGCATTGGGAAAGATCTTAAAAGGCTGGAAAATCTTCAAGGCTCCACGTGGATTGGCCAAGAAGGTCAGTGAGTGTCTTTTAAGGGTGGGAAAGAATACTGTTAGAGAACAGGGCCTGTAAGATCATCAGAGGCAGGCCAGGAAGAAAGTGTGTGTCCATGCCCAGAGCACCAAATCTACAGACTGTCCACAGGGACGGACTGAAAGGAACATCAGATCATGGCTACGATGGGACTGCGGAGTCTGTAATGTACCTACGACTGCAAAGTTGTATCCACAGAACTTCAGTTAAGTAAACACTTGACACTTCTGGAGATCCACGTGGCATGTTAAACAGAAAAGTTACATCATAGGAATCCCCAAACTGATGGCAAATGGAGAGGAGAGGAGACCAGGAGTGTGGAAGTGAGAAGGAAGTAGGAGCCAAGTGCTGTGCAGAGCTCATCTCATTCAATACTCACAACCACCCAGCCACAAAGTTATTATCCCATCTTGCAGCTGAAAAAACCTTGGGCACAGAGTTATTAGGGCACATATATGCCCAGGGTCAACTGGTGCATGCATTGGGATTCAAACCCGGGTCTGCCTGAATCTAGTGATCACTTTTTCTACTGAAGGGCAAGAGAGAAAGAATAAGATTTCAGGAGTCATATAGGATTCTTCTTTTAGATAAAGTTCTTAATTCATTGTCCATCTCTCCCAGTCAAACCATTGATAGCCCTCAGGGCCACACTATGTCTACTCAACACTTCTTTCCCCAGCTATGAAACATTATCATGCTTACTGATAAGACTGTCCAGTCTCTCCCCTGCAGAGAGCACTTGAGTCCATACCAACATTAGTAATCGAACTCAGTGGCAGATCCCCACCGTCGACTGCCAGTAGCATGTGTGGTTTCTCACAAAAAGTAGGTCGTCTGAGCTGCCTTCGTCACAATATGCCAAGGGGAAGCCAAGATCCGCTCAGGTCAGACTCATTCTTTAACCCAGAGTCATAATGTCCACCTAACAGAGGCGTGGAAAGCTGGGGGAAATGGCTTGTGCTCCAAAATTCATACTAGTCATATTTGCTCCAGTTAGCTGGCCAAGCAGACCAAAATCATCAGACTCCAGGTCACTCAGGAAACTTAAAATATGCTAGAAAGGGAAGGAACTTTACTCAATGTTTTTACTTAAAGGACCCCGTCCCACCCCCAGATCTCTTTGCATCCATTTACATATTAGGTTTCCTGGTAGATTTCGTTTAAAATCTGTGCTAGAAAAAAAAAAAATCTTAGAAACAATCTGTGTATTCTAAATCTTTCATTTAACCAATGGGAAACTGGGGCTTCCATACCTGAAGGGGCTTGCTCAAGGTCACCCTAATACTGAAGGTGGGCAGGAGCATGCCATCGTAAAAAGAGTTCTAAAGACGCCAGTGGCTTTATACAGCCAAGATTTCTTTCTTTCTCACACTACATGCCCAATGCGTGTCTTCATAATCCCTTAGGGACCCAGACTGACAGCAGCTCCACCTTCACACACGCTCACAGGATTACTCCAGCAAGGAAAAGGAAATCTGGCATCAGGCACTAGAGGGGTGACACTTTTACACCCAGTGACACATGTCTTTCCACTCACATTTCATTGGTCAAAGGAAGTAACATGGCCACATCTGACTTCGGGGAGCTGGAAAAGTACAATTCTGATATTTAGCCAAAAGAAGAGAGCCCCAGAGAGCCACACACAGACAAAATGAATACACAATTTAAGCAAGGGAAAATCTGTACTAAAAATTGTAATACTTAAGTCCCATTTGACTTCTGCAATTATAAGAGATACAAGAAACAATATACAAGATAATGAATGTCATTGCTGTATATTGAGTGTTACAGTTTCAATAGTTTTCCCTTTCTTAAAACGTGTATGCATTTTTTGTCACCCTCTGTGCTTGTGAACAGCACTGATGACAACCAAAACCTGTAGTAAGTCAAGACAGAGGCTCTAGTCTCTCGACCCTTTGTTGATGTGTTTCTCTATTTCCTTGTCCTTCAAAGCCTAGATCGACGAGTCTTACCTCCTCACAAAACTGCCTGAGACTACCCCCGCCCACTTCGCTCTCTCCCTTTATTCCACTCTTCAACCTGGATATCTTGGTAGTTGTCCTCAGTGAAACTCAATACCTTTTATCTTTTTAGTCTAGGAAATACAATGAGAAAAACATAATTGTGCACTGAGGACGCACATACACACAAGTTTTCGGAGACCTCGCCATTGATAATACAGCCTATGGTCTCAAAAACAAGTATCAGAAAGAGAAGGGTTTCTCTCCTGAGGTGAGGAGAACACAAGACAGGGAGAATTTAAAGAGAAAGACATATATATTATAAAGAATAAAATAACGTCTTTCACAGCAACTTGGATGGAAGGTAAAACCACTATCCTAAGTGAAGTAGCTCAGAAATGGAAAAACAAATAACACCTTTCTCAATCAAGTCGTAGCTAAGCGATGGATGTACGTGGCAATACAGAGTGATCCGGTAGACCTTGGACACTCAGAAGCAGGGAGATTGGGAAGAGGGTGAAAGATCAAAAATTCCCTGTCAAGGGCAGCGCCTGTGGCTCAAGGAGTAGGGCACCAGCCCTATAAACCAGAGATAGTGGGTTCAAACCTGGCCCTGGCCAAAACCCACAAAAAAACACAAAAAATTCCCTGTCAAACAATGTATACTATTTGGGTGATGGGTACAGTAAAAGCCCTGACTTCACTGCTATACAATTCAGCTGTTATCAAAAAACCACTCATATCCCCTAAACAAATTAAATAAAGAAAGGAAGGAAAGAGGGAAGGAAGGAAAGATGGGAGGGAGGGAAGGGAAGGGAAGAGGGAAAAGAAAGGGGGGAAAAAACAACGAAGGCATGGTCCCAAGCTTAAAAGGACATTGTACAAACTAAGCCATGGAGAACATCTCGGCTCTGAAGCACTGTTCGCCAGGCATCTTTAGTCTCTTTGCCTCAGTTTACAATCAGCATTTATTTCCATTCCTTTTCTATGCTCCCTCCCGTAGCATAGGGTCTAGATGCCTGGAACTACACTACCCAGATACCCTTGCCTGCAAAAGGTAGGACGTGACTCCTTCTGTCAGCAAGATACAAGATACGATTCACATAAGATTTGAAAGGAGGAAATGGAGTGGGAAGGGGGGGAGGTTTGATAGAGGGAGGGTAAAAGGCAGGACCACACCTATGGAGCATATTGCAAGGGTACAAGTCAAATCTGTCACGTGTAGAACATGAATGTCTTAACACAATAATCAAGTAAATAAGGTGAAAGCTATGTTGATTGGTTTGATGTAAGCACGTCAGATTGTATAAAAAAAGCAACACATTGTACCCCACATATGCATAAATGTATTCATGATCTATGTGTATATGAATTAATTTTTTAAAAAAAAGATTTGAAAGGAGGAGAGGAGACAGAGCCATTTTCCTCTTCCTCTGGCAGTGGCACCGGACACACAGGCATTGCACAAATGAGTTTTTCCTCAGCCTCTTCATTCCCGGGCCATTCATTCATGTCAGGATGTGAAGAAACTGTGAAGTCAGCAGCAATTTCCTGCAGCTTCCTGACCCTTAGGCGATAGCACCCTGAATCTGGACCACAGGAAGTGTGGCAAATTGAAAACTGATGGCTGATCCCCTGACTTTCACTCCTCCAGGCTTCATAGTGGTTTGTAACCACCCACATCCCTGCTTTAAATTGCATAAAAATTCCTGTCTTCCTGACTGAACCCTGACTGATACTACTTACCCTTCTTACTCAGTTACTTCTGATTATAAAAATAACATATGAAGCATAAGGAGTAAACTTAAAGTAAGTAACGATAACACACCCCTCAGATATCCCACATCTATTG